AAGAGCCTCTGGGTGCGGTGCCTGAGGCGGGGATGGAGCTTGTGCGGAGGTTTCTGCTGGCAAAGGGCGGGTCTGAGGCTGGGCCGGGGTTACAGGAGCTGGCAGGGCTGCGTGACCGAGTCCTGAGGGTGCCTGTGAACCTCGAGGCGTTTAAGTCTGTGTATTTGAGATCTCGTTCTAGCACGAACAGAAAATAGAGCTTCATCTCCGGGATGTTAATGTCAACATAGGGAATGGCATCAGCATTTTTTACATGATGAGGGTGCTGGTGAGGCCTGGGTGTCTGACCATGTGTTTGTGATCTGAGCTTGTCATCTCCGTTCTTAAAGACAGAACATTCTGTTTTCACACCTGTGGTTCCTCCGTGTTTCACCTGCCTGTCACAAAAGGCCGAGTTCTGTAGAGCACAGGGAAATAATTGTCCTCTTTCTTTTTTTTTTCTGTTCATAAGAGGTGATTAACTTGTTTGTGCCTTAGGACAGAGAGACCAGTCAGCCTTGGACATTAGATGAGGATTATTTCCAATGTTGTATTTTTGTTTGATTGCTTGGTTTTTTTCTGGTGAAGAATAAAAAGTGCCAAAACTAAGAGACATTAACTGCCCAATTAGTGGAGACATATAAAAGGAGATTAATTTCCTCCAAGAAGGGCAGATATTCCTTTTACAAAATTTGGGTGACTAACCTATGATTCAGTAATTGTGTCCATTTCTGAGAAGAAATTCAGGGATTCCTATGAAGAACGAGATCCCTTAAAATAGTGAACTTGTGCACACAAGGCCCTGTGTTCCTTTGAAGACCTTGACATAGTCTGTGCATTCAGGGTAACATCTGTTTATTTCAGAGGGTGTTGTTTTTAACACAAGTTCATCAGCAGCTCTTCCTAAAATACATGATGTTTGCCAGTGAGCTACTAGTAGTTACGTTTTTGATGGTTCTTTGGAGCATTGTAAAAGAAGTCACTTGAGCATTGCAACTTTATTGGGTAGTGTAATCTGCTAAAATACTCTGAAGCAGGAGCGATGTTCACACAGTGTTGGGATGTCACTAAAAGCTGTCTGTGTTTGGTTTTAGGTTGGATATCCTGATGTGCTAATTGCTGTCTTGCATGAGCACGGTGGAGCTTGCATGATCACATCTCAGAAACTGTGTCATGAGGTTGTCTTGCTGAGCAAAACTGGTACTTGATGCCTGTTTATAGAAGAGAGTCAAATTACTTTGTGACAGCACTTCACAGGGAGCTGTGTGGGAACTGTAGGTGTTCCTGGCACCAACATCATGGTGGATGTGGCAGAGAAGGAGATGGATAACCCCACGTTTCAACGTGACACGGTGCTTTCTGATGTTCACTTACACTGTCCAAACAGAAGACATCTCATGGTACGACTGAATGCAGTTGGACAACCAGGTAGTGTATGTTTTGACTGATGGAGCTCTATTTAAGTGTATTCATATCTTTGTAATGTCTGAATCCTCCTTTGAATGGTTCATATTAATCATTACATACTTTATTGCAGTTAGAAGCAGAACCACTTCCTACTCAGTCTTTTGGAAGAGGGGTAGCTGGATTCTCCTCATGAAATTAACTACAAAAATTAAAAGGAAGAATGTAGGATTTGTGGACAGGCTATCTTAAAAAGAAATTTTAAATTAGTTTCTGAGAAGTTAGCTTGCAGGTTTCATTGTATTTCTTTATAATCTCAGTATAACACTTTGGTAATCAGGTTAAAAAATTGCATTGTTTTCTTGCATGCACATCAAAGATGAGAATCAGGGGTTTTAAATAGTGTAGCTTAAGTTTAAAATAAGAATTATCAGTAATGAATTTATGATTTTTTATAAAATCTTAGTGTGATTTTCTGCCATCTATTCCAGAGGAAGCTAACAGCTTTGTTTGGATTTTTGGTTTTTTTTGTTTTGTTTTAAAAAAGAAAGAATGCAACAAGAAAGCTCAGAATAGCAATGGTTTTGACTAATATGTATACTTTGAAGAGTCAAGACTGTATTGGAAATGAATTGGCAAATGTCTCTGATTGCCAGCTTGTAGTTTTCTATAAAGTTGTCAAGGAAACTGACCTTGAAGCTGCTAGTAAAATATTCTGTAGAAAAGTGCTGCTCCTGCTGTGACAGAAGTGCTAATTGTTTTTTCAATCCTAGTTGTGACATAAAAAGAATAACTTTTGTAGCTGTTCTAGCATATGACAATGTAAATAATTAACAAAGAAGTAGATAATTTTGACCCTAAGCAGGTCAAACCCAAGTAGTTCTTGCTGTTGTGTTTGATATTTGTTTGCTGGGATTTTACTTGATGCAAAGGACCTTTCAACAGAATGAAATGACAGCATGTGCTACTCTGAGTGCACTTGCTCTGGGAAATTCCTCTCTTTATAAAGACAAGAATTGGATTGTAGTATAACAGCTTTTACACTAACAAATACAATAACAATCTAACACTGTCACTTTGCAGTTTCTAGGAAATCTAATGGGGATTTAGCCTCTGCTGCTTTGGGTCAGTTTTACCTTACACCTTTTGAAGTGCCTTAGAACACTGAGAGGATCAGAATGGACTTGGAGATCAAAAGCATTTCATTTATTAATGGCATCTTCTAATTTAGTAAAGAAATCAGTTTAACATGATTGTCAGGCAAACAGTAGATAACTAAGTAATTCTCATGCTAAGATAGACAATGAAGATTTTATTAGATCTAGCTGAAAATGGTCTCTCTGGAGAACTTCTCTCAGATTACATTTAGACCACTTGTTAACATCTTGCTTTCTGAAGAAACTGGAATAGAACTCCATAAATGTGAAACTGTTGAATGCAATGGTGGCAAGCACTTCATCTCTTCCCTTTTGGTGTACATGAACATAATCCTAAGACATTTTTCTTCAAATCCTGCTAGTGTTGATCTTCTCCAGTGGTTGTGTTCTTGGGTATCTTTTTTCAAGTCTTGACACATTGTGTGTGATTTTGGAGTAATGGGACCCAGTCTAAATTGCCTGTAAACACTGGTTTTGTGCCAGAGTAGGTGAATGAAATGCCATGGTTCCGTGCTCTGTGACTGGCTTTAAATTTTTAATAGATGCTGACATCACCGGATGATGGTAGCAGAAGGCTTTTAATTAATTGGTTTATTGAGAAAATGGCTTTATTGATCTCTTTAAAGATTCAGTTTAAAGACTTTGAGGGTGAATACAAAGTGCCAGCATGTCCAGCTTCAGCAAGCTGTATCCTGTGACCTTTCTTCTGCTCTTTCATACTCATACTAAGCTGATTTCAAGGCTTGAATTCCTAAAGACTTTTAAAACAGTAAAAAAAAAGTTATACTTGCTTTTTACTACAACATGGTTGTTTCTTGCAAGATAGGAATTAAATCTTCACTGAAAGAAACAAATTCTATCTCATATTTATTCTTTCAACTTGGTTTCAGCTTATTTCAACAGATCTTTTGGAGGATGTAAGAAACTATCCCTTCTGCCAGTTGTTAAAATAAATGTTACTAAATCACATGAAAGTGTGTGTTGTCACTGCATAGGTGCTGAGTCAGGTAGTAGTCTATGAAAGTGCATTTATTTCTACTGTAGGAGCTTAATAACAGATTTCTCCATAGCAAGTTGAACTGTATTTCAAGGTATCTGTAGAATTTTTTATCCTCTAGATATTTAGTGTGTGAAATGCTTACCAAGATTTCACACGTGTGAAAGTTGTGCCTGGGTTCTGTTCTGTCTTGGTGTTTCACTTTTTTCCCCCTCCCTGTGTTCTTACAGTTTTCCTGTCACATTTCAAACTCCTCTGGAACACAGAAGTTTCGGCATCTGAGAAACATGTGAGAGAAGCTGCAACAGAAAAAGAACACCAGTACAGAAGTGGAGATGAACTCTGTGACAAGGACAGGAATAATCAAAAAAAAGTCAGAGAATTAAATAGTGGAGGGGTAGAAGCTCTACTAGATGATGATGGAGATTTGGAAGTGGTCAGAAGACCTCGAAGTGCCTCTGATTTAGAAGCAGAGGATCTGTTGAGGGATAGAGTGTATCCAGTAATTCTGATGAAAGGGAAAGAAGATGCTTTTGAAGATGAAGAACAAGAATGCACTTGTGATGTTGTTAAAATAGGTAAATATTAGGTATACAGTCAAGGAGAAATGGAATTAAGTATGTTTGTGTAAAACAAAAGAAACAGGTTTTCTTTAGAAAAGGAACAACAGTTGTTAAGTGAAAGGAGATAACACAACAAATAGAATGCTATGATATTGTAATATTTTTTTTAATTGCCATTTTTCTCCATAAGCTTATTGGGCAATCGTATGCAGTGGGAAGCTCCTTAGTTTGAGTGGAGGTTTTGGCATTATCTATCATTATTCTATAGACTGAAGACTGTTGAGTTCTGTATTTGAAAGGGAAGCATGACTTGATTTTCACATTTCCCACTATGGGTCTTGATTTGGACAACACTTTGAGATACTGATTTCTGCTTTACTTTCACAGAACATACTATGGCAACCCCCTTAGAAGATGTTGGTAAACAAGTATGTGTTTTGCCTCACAGTGTTTTGCTGTTCATGGGTTGTGCTTCAGAATTCACTCAGTTGTACCTGCTTCTCTCCACAGGTCTGGCGTGCAGCCTTTCTCCTTGCTGATTACATTCTGTTTAAACAAGACACATTCAGGTGTTGCTCAGTGCTAGAGCTTGGAGGTGGCACTGGAATGACAAGCATCATCATGGGAACAGTTGCCAAGAGAGTTTATTGCACAGGTAAAGCAGATATTTGCAGTTACATTTTTTCATGAAACTTCACAAAGCAGTGCTTTCATCTTGACATTTTCATCCTCATTTGTTCATAATTTTTTATTCATGTGTATACAGTTTTGTTGTTTATTGAAAAATGACAAGAACTTTCTCAACAGATTGAGAAAGCAATACTACTTTTAAGTGCAGGAGTTTTAAAAGCAAGATACATTCTGTGAACTCAGGATAGTGTGCCTAGATTAAAAGATGTATTATAGGGATCTAACTTCTTTCTCCAAGGGCAGCTCAGAGCTTAGCATTGAAAGACAAAAGCAAGAAGGCTACTAGGGAAGCCATCGTCAGTGGATGGAGTTGCTCTGAATTCTCCTTAATCTCATCAAAAGAGAAACTTGGAGTATTAGTTTGAGAGGTCAGGGGCATGAATGACCCATGCAAAATATTCTTACTTTGAATATTTTAACCACTTTTTTCCAGATGTTGGTGAAGATCTTCTGAGTATGTGTGAGCAAAATGTTGCATTAAACAAGCACCTGAAAGAGCCAGGAAGTAAGTGCTGTACAGTCAGTATTTGTCGAATTGCCTATACTGGAACTACTTTGGAATTAAACAGCAGTCATTGACTACCTCACATATTCACAAGTAAAATTAATTTTTAATCTTGATAGAAAGTGACACATTTAAAAAGAAAGATGCAAGTTATCTATATATAGTCCATAATGGGGCAGCTTCCTTTTAAGAGGAGCAAACTCCTTTTCTTACCCTGGTGATCATTTAAGACCAGCTGTAGTTCCTTCACACACTCACGCTCTGTGACATCAAGTCACATAGAGTGGAAGTAACAGAGATAGAACTCTGGAAAGGAAAAGCATTTTGCACATGAGACATGTAAAAGAGAACACAGGTTGTCTTTCTGACCTTTAAGTTCATCCTGTTCTCTTGTGATTAACTGGTTTTGTACAGTAAATGGTTTGATGTCCAACTTTACTTGTTACACGTGTCCTCATCATAGATCTCATCACTTGTTTCAGTACAGATTTTGATTTTACTTTTGCTTATATACTGTCTGAAGGGCCACTGGAGACTGATGTGATCTTTCTTCACCCACAGGAGGGGAAATTAAAGTAAAAGAACTGGACTGGCTGAAAGATGAGTTCTGCACTGGTAGGTGGCTATAGTGGCTCCGTTCAGGGAGGGTTTGGTGTTTTGGCTGGGTTTTTTCCTCTCGGAGGGAAAGACAAGTGATTGCAAGGCCAACACAAAATTGTAGCACTAGGTTATGTGAAGCCTACTTTATAGATTTTGTGTATAATCAGTTGGATTTGATGTAATGCTTCTAAAGAATAGAACAACTGTTTAATCAAGTGGAAACATCTTCTACACATTCAAAAGCTTCTTTTGGACCTCAAGAAATTCTGGTTAATGAAAATATTTAATACTGCCAGTGGAAAAGGCTTTATGTTTTTTAGACTTTGAAGGAAAGTTTCTAAATGTTAACAATAAAAGTGTGATTAAATAGGAAGCTTAACCAAAACTTACACTAAGATGTATTTGGGTTTTTATGTAAAGGAGTATTTATTTTGATCTAGTTAAATATGTGATCTCTACAGGGTGGTAATTGATAGTAAATTCTAAAGTCAAAGAAAACTCACTCTTGCCAGTCAGCCTTGGGAAGATGGGACATAACACAGAGGAAGTAAAGGATGGCAAGGAACTTCAGAGAATGAAGGAGCTCTGTCTGTGAAGCAGCAGATGACCACAGGAGTTAGGAAGTTTCTTTTTTCCAGCTGTCAATCATTTGAGACAGTTAATCATGTACATCAAAAGCTATATTCTTTGTTACAGATCCTGAAGCTCCTTATAGCTGGTCTGAAGAAGAGATTGCTGATTTGCATGACAATTGCACTGTGATAATGGCAGCTGATGGTAGGAAAATATAAACAGTAACCTTTTAAATCAAACAATTGAGAATTATGAGAAATAATTTAAAGACGCCTAATTTGCTTTTTAAATCTAATAGGTCAGATTCTTACCTAATTTGTTAAATCTCTGCCTGAAGTGTTCCTATCTATATGTTTTTTCTAAGTTGTATTTACATTCTGAATTAGTAGTAGGAGAATAGATGTTGTTTTTTCTTCCCTTTGGTGTGGTAATTATTTGTGACTAAATAAATTACTCAACATTGTCACAAGTCAATGATGAATTTGACTCTCAGAAGAGTTTTGTTGTCCTACCTTTGTCTTGCATCAGATCACCCTTAAGCAAAGAATGATAAATAGGTGTTTAGACCAATATTTTCTATAATGTGGAAAACAGTTCCAGATGCTGCACATGCACATAGACTATGCCTTTAGATATCTCTTATCATTTTTCTCTTCTCTTTTTCTTGCTGAAGTGAAAGACTGAAAAATGACAGGGTAGCCTATCTGTATAGGAAGACCACTGTTGTTTTGGTATATAAATAAAGGAGGATTGGTTTTAGTTACAATATTGAAAGGTGATGCAAATCTGCTTTCCAAGAGATAAGGTTCTAATGGTGCATTAGTTACTGCCTTTTGTGCATTTTTGTAAGAAATGTGGCTTTATACATTGTGGTACCCTCTCTCTTTTTCAGCTTTGCAGTAAGTTATTTCCCAGCTGACAGAAATCTTGTTTAAGTTCTGTAAATTATCTGATTCTCATTGATAGGAGAAAAATCTTAAAGAAAGCAGGACATAAATTGCAGCAGTGGATGCTGTAACAGTATGGTTGTTGCCATTGAAAATTTGCTTTGGGATTTAATTAAAATAGTTACTTGTTTGATTAGAATAATCAAAATAAGGCTTGTTGTTTTGTACCTGAGACTTCTGTAAATAATACATTTAAACATACATTTTTTGTGCTCCTAATCTTTTTTTTTGTAGTGTTCTATGATGATGACCTGACAGATGCCTTGTTCAGAACCCTTTATAGAATCACACACAACTTGAGACATTCTTGCACAGTTTACCTAGCATTGGAAAAGAGGTAAATCTATGTGCCTGCTTTATTTGGAAGAAACATCTGATTCGATTTTAGATTGGCTTCTGATTTTTACTGTATTAGTATTTTCACAGGCTGCAGTGTACGCTCAGGACAAGCATTTGGTTTTATATGTGTTTATCAGTTCAGAATCTGACTTCCACAAGAGTTCAGCTTTTGTTGTTCTTATCTTTGTCTCACATCAGATACCCTTATTTGCACAGTGGTTAAATTGGTGGCTAGACTGATGTATTCTATGATGCCTGAAAATACTTGCTATATATTTTTGAGTTCATAGAGTGCAATGAAGTGGCTTAGAATTAAGGTATATGTTTCCCAGGTTGAGTACTTACATAACAATTTATCTTGTTTTTTCTTTCAAGGAATCATTGATTATTTTTAAGTAGTTGTGTGCTGCAGTCCATTCATAAACTAAAATATAAATAGGCTTTGCTTAAATTTCTGGAGATATGTAAGCAATAGCTATTCATCTGATTTGGTCTGACCAGGAAGCCAGGCCAATGATTCTGTTGAAATAAAGTGCCTTAAAACCAATGGAAAGATTCATGCAAGAGTTACTGTGTATTGAGCTAACATAAGGCTTGTCAGCTTTTCAGGAATATAAGGGAATAATTTTTGAAGTTAGTTAATTACATCAAAAAGACACGTATTTTCCATTAGCTGAAAACAGTCACAGCTATTTAAGATGCCAGTTGAGGAGAGATATTTTATATTAAATATTCTCTTGCCAGGCTGAACTTCAGTTTAAGACATATGGATGTTACATGTGAAGCCTACAATCATTTCAGAGAGAACCTAAATGATTTGGAGAATCTCCAGGACAGAAAAATGAAATATACTGTGGAGCCCATTAAGCTTGATTTCTGCCAGTTTCTTGTTTATGAGCGAATTGAGCAGTTGGTAAGTGACATTCATTAAAATGAATGTAATGTGTTGCGCTAATCATCTCAGATTAGTTTTTGGCTGTTTACTTCACATGAATTAAGAACACGAGAATAAACATTACCTTTTCATTTATTTCCATTTAGCTTTTTGTTGTTTTAAAATTATTCTTGTTTATGCTTACACAATCTGAAGACTGATATAACATGCCCTTTTCTATCATCAGCAGTGCAGTGTCTTAGATTGTTCCTCAAAGGTTAAGAAACAATCTTCATTATTTGTAAAACACAGCTTTTGGGACTGGCTAGAAAATGGGACCCATATCTCTCCTCATTTATTTGCCTGTGGAAAAGCTTTCACAGTTTAGTAATTCCTTTCCCAGTTCAGGGTTCAGGAAATAATGTTCTAATTTCTATGAAGAAGTCAATTAGCTGTAAACTTCTATTATTCAGAAACATGTCAGATACGGTATTTGTAGTTATCTAGTTACCTCCCAAGCACCTATGATTCTCATTATTTATTTTCCCAGTTGTCTGCTATTACAAATATTATGCAGGGTAGCTAATAGCTTGCTAGCTTTTAGAACAGTACAATCTAACAGACTTTTTAGAGAACTTGCAAATTGTGTACTGGATTGCAAATCTGTTGTCAAGAAATGATGTTCCTGTAGTGAACATAATACTGCTGTGTCTCTTGCATAGTAAGATGCGTAGTAAGGGTCCTCCAGTTATTTCATGAGACTGATTTATTTTAATTAATGCTGATACCTTCAGGCATAAAACATACATGCAACACTTTAAAACAAGTATTACAAGTATATAAATTTAACCTGGGTTACACCTAAATGTGTAAACTCACTCCCTTTTTCTGGAAGGCCACTAGTCTTGGAAATATATGCATTTTATTTATCATTAAGTTTATTGTCACTATTCAAGATGTTATGGTGATGAGTATATGATAGTCTACTTAATAATCTTTTGTGCAGCAGAGAAAGCATATGCTAATTTATTCTACAGAAATAAAGTGGTCTGTTTTTCATCTTCACTGTCGATCAGGTTGAGAAGCAGGTGTGTCTGTATGAGGTATGCATTTGTGGGATCTTGATTCCTCAGTAAATAGAGTATTTTTTCAGTTGTGTTTTACTAGCATTTTGCAAAGTGTCATCACAGGCTAAGAAAAAGAGCAAGATTATAATTCAAAATACTGCAGAAGGTCATGCAGACTGATGAAATTATTTTAAAACAAATTATTGGAATGGTACTATTTTTTTAATTTTTAAAATGGTGCTACAAGAAGGAAGACATCAATTATATTGCTCTGTTTCAAAGGCAGTTGTTCTAGGAGACTGAATAGATGGATTTAGTATCCATCCAAATACGGGTACTATCTACAGATGGAGGGACAGGATGGGTCTTAAAACTTGTCTTCAAGTAGGCACATTGAACTTTTTCATAATTACAACCTACTGATATGAGAAAATACCTGTATGGTTTTTTTTTATTCATTCCTACAGGAATTGTGGAAGATCATTGCTGAACAGCTAAGATGACAGGGATGTGAGAAAAGAGAAGATCTTTATCTAAGGATGAAGGATTTTTTTTAAGTTTTATTTAAAAAAAAAGTATTTTCATCCCAAAAAAAGCATTTTCCTGATGGAACCCTGTTCTCAGAAAGAATTGCTATGCAGGTTTGCTTTACTTCAGTAAGTTTTGGGTTTGGGACAACATACTTGCTTTGTTTCTTTTACAAAGTTGTTTAACCTTGATCTTCAGAGTATGTGCTGAATGGCAAACGGTGGCAGTAACAAAGTGACTTGCTCTTTGGGACTGATGACAGGTTTTAGTCTGACAAAGAGGTATTTCACCTTTTCCATGTGGCTACTTGCAGGTGTCACACATTTTCCTTTTCAGTTTTCTGAACATGGACACTATTCTTGGTCTCATCCCAATTCCACATGATTTGTATTTGTGGACATTTGTGAAACAGTGCTCTGGTCAAGACCTGTTTGTCTTTCATGGACTTTTCTTTAAGCAATCTGTTTATGAAACTTAGTCCTTAATTTTCAGTTTGTCCCATCTAAATAATTCTGGTTCAGAGCTACTGTCTGAACTGAAAGGAGACAAGATGCATTTTGTTGGAGCCTCTGAAAGTGCTCTGTGGAAGTCCTGGGGCTATGTTGTCCCACTGGAACTTTTAAGGTATTCTGCCCTTACTAGGCTGAGGGTGGGAAGGTACCATGTGACATGATATGCTGAGGCCCTATCTATGTTTGAATTCTGTACTCAACATGTCCCTGTGAGGCTGGGGAAAAGGAGGTGACCAGGAATGTATTGCTCATAGAAATGGGGCCTTTGGTAACTTGGCTTTTGGATTAAAGTGTGATGTATATTGATTAAATCCCTCCTGTGTTATTAATAAAACAAAAAAAACTGCTTGAACCTTCAATAAGTTTTACATGTACTGCTGTGTCCATATCACTTGCCATATGAACTCGGCTAAATCAAGTCAGGCTGCACATGGGAACACTTCTGGATCTGGTCGGCATAGTGTGGTGGGTCAGCCAGGTGGGTTGTTTTGGGGAGAGAAGAGGACACTGTGGAACTCTTGCAGTGCACTTCTGGTAAAGGAGAGGGGTGCACAGTTTTTTTGAAAAGTGTGGTAATGGATGGACACATGATCTTCCAGGAGGAATCTTGTTTGAAACAAGCTGATTTTTACATTTGTTATTGGTGTGTGATGAAATAACATGTCCTTTCTCAGTCCCCACACTTCAGATGAAGGTGGCAGGCAACCCTTTTATCTTCTCTTCAGAGAAACACAGATGACATAATTGTAGATATTGGTCAAAAGAACTTGAACTTTTATGTGACATTTGAATGAGCATTGCAAGGTGATTACATTTGTTTATTTCCAGTCTTTTGTTGATGTGAAACTTGGAGAGCTGCTTTGTTGTGAACTGTTGTTCACAGAAGTGAACTTCGATGTGTCATTTTGCAGTAGAAAGAAAAGTTGTTTAAGATAATCACTTGGCAGGATA